TACTGGAAGATATTGAAAACATGGGCTAATGCGAATGATTCTTTCGCAGATCGTCAGCAGCGGAAAAAATTGCTGCGCGGTCTACCCAACATTGGTGCCCACTAGACAATTTGCCATGTCTTTTTCGACTTTTCCACTACACGTGAGTTTGCCTTGCTGCCTCAGCGCAAGCCAAGGCAGGGAGAGCGAGTGTGGTGCAGGTGATAGAGGGAAGGCGATCACGGCTGACGGCGACGATGATAAGGGGTGGTGGTGTGGAGAGCGGCAGTGGGGGTTTGAGTGATGATGAAAGCGGGGAAAGGGCGCTTTGGTGGAGGCGGAAGGGACTGAAGAAGACAGAGAGGGGGGGGGGGAAGGAGGGACGGGTTAGGAAGCACGTACAGTGATGGTGTCTTTCGATTGTGGTGGCGGTGGCGGCGAAAGTGCTTGTTGGGGGGGGGGGGGTTAGCGTTGGATCGGTTATCATGTGTCGCCATGCCATGTGCATGCACTGGTTGCGATCCATCCATCCCATCCATCCCATCCATCCACTGCACAGACAAACCCAACAAGCACAAGCAAACGCACAAACCAAGACCTGCACATCACATGCACGCACACTAGAATACGTATTTGTGCACACGTCAACTCACATTGCTGTTGCTGTTCCACCACGCACACGCACACGCACATGCACATGCGCTTGCACATGGGGTAACACGCTGCTGCTTCTCCAACACCTCGTTCGCCTCCCCGAACCGCCTTCCTGCCTCTTTTGTTGTTTCTCTCTTGTTCTTGGTTTCCTCTCTCCCTCTCTCTCTTTCGCGTCCTTTGTTGTGAGCGCAGTCTCTACTTTTCCAACCCACCACTTTCCACCCACAACCACATTTGTGGACCCCCCAGCGGACTCGCAGCCATGCCAGGGAACCCATTCGCCCTCCTCGACCCCGACAGCGCGGCTGTGAAGGCCCCTGCGCCCAAGGCTAAGCCCGCCGCCAAGGCCAAGCCCACGACAAAGCCACCCAAGCCCGCCTCGTCTGGCACCCCAACGACCACCACTTCTCGCCAGGAGAAGGATGGCCGCAGCTCCGAGCGCGGTGGCCGCGGTCGCGGCCGTGGTGGCCGTGGTGGCCGTGGCGCTGGTCGCGGTGGTCGCGGCAGCCGTGGTGCTGGCCGTGGCGGTCGCGGTGCTGGCCGTGGCGGTCGTGGCCGCGGTGCTCGCTCTGAGGGCGACGACTCCCGCCCCGACGCCCCTGAGGCTGCCACCGACGTTGCCATCCCCAGCGACGACCGCGGTGCCCAGGTCCGCTCCCAGAACCGCCGCCACGGTCGCGGCAGCGGCCACGGTGCCGCCACTAACTACGACCGCAGGAGCCGCAGCGGCAGGTGTGTGAGTGGGTGTGTGCGTGTATGTTTATGTGTGTGTGGGGGGGGGGGATAGATGTGCATGTGCATTTGTGTGTGTGTGTGTGATTGCTTTTGTGTTTCTGTGCTGTGCTGTGCTGTGCTGTGGCGTTTCTGTGTTTGTCTGTCTTCCTCTGTACATGTTCGCGCGGCTTGTTGGTGTTTGTGTGTGAGGGGCCCACGTGTCCACCGAGGGTGTCTGGGCCCAATCATCGGGGCACTTCCCTACACGGTCGCCGTGGCACTTCCCTGTCCGTTTGCTTACGCTCGTGTGCGCATACACACGCTTGCGCGTGCAGGACGAAGGGCACTCGCGAGAAGCGCGACGGCCACGGTGCCGGCAACTTTGGCAGCGATGCCGAGATTGTGAAGGACGCCCAGGAGGTGCTCGAGAACGAGAAGGTTGGTGGCAGAGGCTGTGTAACACGGGGAAGGGGAGGGGATGGGCATAGTTGCGTGTGACACATTTGTATGTTTGCGTGCGCGTGTGCGGGAGCGAAAGAGTGTGGCGCTCATGCATGTGCTTGTGCTGCCCCGTGATACGCCCTCTCACACGTGCTGCTGTTGCGTGGCTGGTGTTCCTTGTACTGCGCTTGCTGCAATGAATGTGCGTGGCTTGGCGTGTTGCGCAGCAGGGCGAGGAGGTCGCCAAGGAGCAGTCTGAGGTCGTCGAGGAGGAAGTCGAAGAGGAGGAGCCCGACAACACGGTCACCATCTCCGACTACCTCAAGCAGCAGAAGTCCGTTGCTGTGTTGTTTGTTTCGCTTTGTTGTGTGTGTGTGTGTTTGGGGGGGGGGGTGCTCTCGTGTCAACCGCAGTTTTGCCCTTAGCCGTGAGTCTTTTGTTGTTTTCGTCGAAGCGGTTGTGCGCATTGATCTTTGTGTTGAGCGCATTGAGGGTGTCACTGTTTTGCCCTTGATGCCGTCACGATAACTCAACCCCCAATGTCGCGTTTTTCATCTCGCTGCAGGACCGTGACTGCACGCAAGCCCCGCCGCAAGCCCAACGAGGGTGAGGACACGAGCAAGTTTGCGTCCCACCTCGTGCGCCGCGACGAGGAGAAGGAGATCGTCGAGCCAACCAAGGAGAAGAAGGTTGGCTTTTCGACCCCGCCAACCTCTTTGTCGTGTGGCTTGTTGAATATTGACGTGCTGGGTTGGGCGTGTGTGTGCGTATGCGTGCGATAGGTTGTGCGTGCGTGTGTGCATGTATGGGTTGTGCGTGTCGCGTGCTGTACTGACGTGTGCTCGCATCGTCGCCGTTGCTTGCCATTGTGTGTCCCGTCCTGTGTTGTGTGCTCACGCCCCTCGTGTTTTGCGGTACTGCAGCAGGTGCGCCAGAAGGAGCAGCGCGCTGCCGGCAAGAAGTACTTTGAGTTTGGCGACGAGGACTTTGCGCGCTACCGCCGCTTCGAGAGTCAGTCGCACAGAGAGTGTGTGTCTGTGTGTCTGTGTGTCTGTGTGCGTCTGTGTTTGTGTGTTTGTGTGTTTGTGTGTTATCAGCATGTCGTGTCACGTCTGATTTTGTCTCATCTGAAAAGATGGCTTGTGCAGCACCAGCACACATGTTGCATTCCTACCCGTCTCACCATTGCTTCTTTGCCTGCTTCTGCATCATGTGTGTGTGTGTGTATGTTTTGTTTTGTTTAGGCGACGAGCGTGGACGTGGCCGGGGACGCGGTCGTGGTCGCGGCCGTGGCGGTCGTGGCGGCCGTGGTGGCCGTGGTGGCCGTGGTGGCCGTGGTGATGCTCCTCGCTCTGCTGGTGCCCCACCAAGCCTGTCCACCGCCAACTTCCCCGCGCTCGCCTGAGAGTGCTGGGGTTGCGCTTGATCAGCACCGCTGTCATTGGCAATGTCATTGGCACTGCCCTCCTCCCCTCCCTGTACTGCCGTACCCTCCACTGCACCCACCACCCATCCCAACTCCAGCATTGACAGCAACAAAAGCATCACTGCACCGGTACCACGCGTGCTTACGTTGCTCTGTTGCACGTGGTTGCTAAGTGCTGTTCATGCTACACTCCACTACCCCCACCAACCCCTCTTTTCTCTCCCTCCCACAACCTCCTCCCACAACCTCCTCCCAACCCCAAACTCCCCTCAACCACGGCTACTTGTGCCTCTTTGTGTGCCATACTATACTGGCTTGCCTTCTTTCCACCATCCACCCTATCACTGTCTCCCACCACAACCGACACAGTTGCCGATGCTCAGTTTAAGTGCATGCGCTTTTCGCGTGCTGCTTCTTCTGCTTCTTCTGCTGCTGCACAACCATCAACCACCGAACCCCCCCCCCCCCACTTTGTTTTAGTGTGGCGGGGTGGTGTGCTGGGCACAATCACAGCCATTTTCTTGTTCTGTTTTGTTGTTGGTGTGGCTGTGGTTGGATTTGCCTGTTGCACCCGCCCTTCTGCGAACCCCCCCCCCCCCTTTCACCCCTGTCCTTTGTGACGTGTGTTTGCTATGGTTGTTGTCATGCGTGCGTGTGTGAAGAGAGAAGACAACAAGTACAAAAAAGCACCACATGATCTGTGATGTAGGGGGAAAGAAGCAGGAGAAAGGGTGGAGGTGTGTGTGTGTGTGTGTGTGAAGAAGGAATTTGCTGACACGTTGACAAGATCGATGTTCGTTTACTTCTTGCGCTCTCTCGCCCATTTGTAAATGACTTCCCCGCTCGGCAACACAATCTATCATGTGTGTGTGTGTGTGTGTGTGTGTGTGTGTGTGTGTGTGTGTGTGTGTGTGTGTGTGTGTGTGTGTGTGCGTGTGTGTGTGCGTGCGTGTAATGACCATCGGCACCTTGAGACAATACACCAAGAAGTACACCCTCTTTCCCGTGAGTACTCAACACCATGTACTTCCAGGGGAACAAGACCACGAACCTGCGTGCGTTTGTTGACCATTGCAAAGTAAAACTCATCGGGGTTCCTGTTGCGGGCCTACGCCAAGGTACACGCAATTGAAACAAGGGTCGTGAGTGCTGTAATAAGAGCCCAGAAATGGACACACGTACACAAGAATCAATGTGTGTTTGCGTACACAAGTGTGGCGTGCGACCCTGCTCACACACATATGACATGTTCACACACATATACATGAATTCATACATGTTCCACACCAATCAACACACAAACAGCTACATCACTGACGGTGATCGCACCTTTTCGGCAAGCGCTTTCAGTCGACGTTGCTTGAAGTGAAAGTCTCTGTATCGCGTGATGGGCACGCAAGCATTGAGAGGAGGGTAAGGCAACCACCAAGCGACATAAAGAGGACAGCCACAGACAGCCGCAAGCCAGGACAACGCCGGGCCAAGGTCACGAGGGCAATCCAGGGAGGGCACACAGCCTACCCCCCCCCCCCCTCCAATCAAGATGCATACGTACTCTCTGCGGAGCTTCCAGTCCTTGGACTTTTCGAGGAATCCAAACTTGCGCCGATGGGAAACCTGCGATCGCTCCTTGTGGGTCTTGCGCCCAGCTTTTTGCGCTTTCTGTGGACGGTGAGGTGTGTGTGTGTGTGTGTGTACGTGTGCGTGTGTGCGTGTGTGCGTGTGTGTGCGTGTGTGTGTGTGCATGCGTGTGCATGTATGTGTGTGTGTGTGTGTGTGTGTGATGATGTGAACATTTCCGCTTGGTGACGCCCTTCACACAGACGCACACACACACACACACACACACAGACGCACAGACACACACACACACACATGCACAGACACACAGACACACAGACACACAGACACACAGACACACAGACACACGCACAGACACACATCAAGCATGGCGCACCGCAAACGACGACATCTTGGCTGTCTTTTGATGCACGTGTAGGGGATCGGTAAATTGCACCGAATGGTCACCTCGTCTGCGTTGTGGAAAAGCCGTGGAACATTTCCAGCAATAATCGACCATGTTGGCAGGCAACTGCTTGCACGCACTTATCGTTCTTGTGTTGTTGTTCTGTTGTTGTTCTGTTGTTGTTATTGGTGGAGAACGAGAGACGAAAGACGAAGGCGAAGCGCTGCTTTGTCACATCATGTAACAACGCAACAGCGCAGCAACAAGCAGGAGCAAGCACGACAGGTGAGCCAGCCATCCAGGAAGAAGGGAGAAGGAAAATGACAGAAAGGGAAGGCAACCTTGCGGTCAAGCGGCAACGGTGTTGGTTTGTGCGATGCGAAAGCCTGCTTGAGCGACGCGCGAAAGGCAGCGCATTACTCGGAGCAGTCAACGTCAATGGTAAGCTGGTATTGGCCTTCGGTTGAAAACGAGGTGTCTGCGACTGACACAAAGTAGGAGGTGGTTAGGCTGTCTGTCGTTTGGTAGAAGATGTACTCGTTGTCCGTTGTGGAGTTGGAATAGGCTTGGTCTGCCTCGTTCTCGACGGACATAAGGCCGAGAGTCAGGTCAATCTCCGCGTGCGTGAAATACAGGTTGATGGTGACGTTGGCAAAGGGGCACACATCAACGCGGTACAAGTCGGCGTCACCAACGCAAATGCCTGCCGTGATGTCCACGGGAAGGGTAAGGTTGGTTGTGCCAAATGGAGGGTTCTGGTTCGGCTCGTACATGTCCTCGCAGTTGAACGTGGTTGTGGTTGGCGCTTCGGTCGTGGTCGTCGTCGTGACTGTCACGTTGCAGTCAATGTCTGCAGTGGAAAACGCGCAGTTGCGGCTGTGCGTGGGTGGGGGGGGGGGAGGGGGTGAGTGAGTGGGAGGGTGATGGAGCGGGGAAGAGGGGGGGGGGGACAAAGCTTCGATCGAAGGAGGGAACTGAAGGAAGAAATGGACCCAGGCGTCGCTTCAGAAACACACCACCACACACACCCACACACCCACACACACACATCCACACCCACACACACACACACACACACACACACACACAACCACGCGTCAGACTCACTAGCATGCGAGGATGGTCTTGACGTCGGTGTAGTTGTCGCTGCCCATAATGTCGTCGCAGTCTGCAAGGCAGATGCCAAAGTCCACCAGGTTTGAGGTGCTGTGGTGGTCAAACTCGGCGACGCAGGTCGAGAAGGTATCGCGCACATCGTTCTCAAACACGGCCTGAGGGGAAGGAAGGAAATGGGAGGTGGTGAGAAAGGTAAGGGAACGGTAGAGGGGAAAGTCAAGAACAACACAACAAGGCGATGCATGAGTGGACGCTTTGGTGTGTGTGTGTGCGTGTGTGTGCGTGTGTGTGTATGCAGACAGAGAGAGAGAGAGAGAGGAGCGAGAACAAGGGGTATGCATCTGCAAGCCCTGCAAGACTCGCGGGTATGGTGTCAGGACCATGCTGGCACAAACGGTAACACAAACGCATGAGCACAACGAAAAGCACACTTACCGCGCCGATGCAGCTGTCCACCTGGTCGGTGCATGTGTAATCGCAAGGTGGGAGGGTTGTGGTCGTGGTCGTGGTCGTGGTTGTCGTAGTGGTTGTGGTTGTGGTGGTTGTGGTTGTTGTGGTTGTGGTTGTTGTGGTGGTGGTTGTAGTGGTGGTGGTCGTTGTGGTGGTGGTCGGCGCCTCCACCTCGCGCACATCCACGACGGTGCAGCGGTTGAAGCGGAAGGTTGTGGACTGCGCACACACGAGCAGGTCGTCGACATGTGCGCTGTTGAGGGTGCTGGTGCGGAACGAGGTGGCATTGATCACGTCAATCGTGGCGGACGTGTCACCATTGTACCGGCACAGCTGTGCATGTGTGTATAAGTGTGTGTTGAAATGGGATGAGTCAGGGCTGATGTGGCTGAGTTGGATCAATCAGACAGCACACCGGCTCGTGGCACAGAGTGCTTGCATGCGGACATCCACCAGCACAAGCACGCACACGCACAAGCGCAAACACGAACACACACGCGCGCGCACACGCACACACACACACACACACACATACACAGACAAGCACACAGACAAGCACACACACAGACAAGCACACACGCGCACGCACACACACACATACACAGACAAGCACACACACAGACAAGCACACACACACATACACAGACAAGCACACACACAGACAAGCACACACACACATACACAGACAAGCACACACATACCCTGGAGATATCACAGTCATCCTCGAGGGCCTGCTTCCAGCGCATGGCAAAGAAGTCGAGCTCCTCCTCATTGCGCTCCGTCAGTGGATCACCACGCGAGCAGTCCAGTTCAACCTGGTGAAGGGCAGGAGGTGATGAAATAGTGCAGCGTGGTTGAGTTGAGAGGGGATGAGGACAGAGGACAAGGAAGATGATATACAATCAAAGTGAAAGAGAGCCACACACACACACACACACACACACACACACACACACACACACACACACACACACACACACACACACACACACACACACACGCACACACACACACACACACACACAAAACCACACACACACACACGCACACACCGCAAAGTAGGTGTCGAAAACAGTCTGTGTGCAGTTAGCGACGGAGTAGCAGCCCTCAAACTCTGTGTCGTTGCAGCGGAAGATCCTTTGGCAGTCTGATCAAAGAAGGAACGTGGTATGAGTGGCCACGCGCCGTCACGAAGCAGCACCATAACGCAGTTGTTTTCAACACGAACAAGAGCCGCGCACACGTGCGCAACCAAGCAGACAGCCAAGTACGCACAGATGCAACTTGCAAAGGAGCGAGCACACGCTCACTAGATTCGGCCTCATACTCACTTCCGTTGTCGCACTCGGCAAAGTTGTTGCACATGCACTCGCCACCTGCATTTGTTTGGAGCACACGAGTGTGAAGGCGTGAGTTGTGAAGAAGCAGTGCATGTGGTTCGTTGGTCGCAGTGACAATAACGCGTCCACATACGCATGTGCAGCTCGAACAGAGCCAGGTTGCAGATGGTTCAAAGCGGTCAACCAACATAAAGGACAACAAAGCAAGTAAGCACACGCACACACGCATGCACGCACGCACAAGCACACACACGCACACACACACACATACACACACGAACACAAAACAAATAAACAAGCAAGTACGCTCATGTTGTGTGACGTACCAACGTCGCAACGGGACTGTTGAATGCCGGTCTCGTAGCCGCCCTCAAAGTAGTAGCCCTCGTTGGACGCCGTCAGGTTGGCGCAGCCATCCAGGTTCTGCAATAAAAGTGTACGTGAGTGTGTGCCAGTGAGTCGTACAGAAGAGGCACAAGAAGTGAAGGGGTTGTCAACTCTTTGTCGTGCGTGGGATTCAACACGACAAAAGATCGCAAGAGCTGTGCAAGAGAGCGCAAGAGAAACAAGAAGGAAGGGGCAAAAGAGCAAGAAAGGCACACACACACACACACACACACACACACACACACACACACACACACACACACACACACATGTCCTGTCTCATCCCTTCACCCATCTCCTTTGATGCAGCTTTTACCCTACCGTTTCGGCAAGGAATTCCGAGAGGGTCAGTTCATCTCCAAGGCTGACGCCCTGCGAATGATTGTACAGTTGCCGACGGTGGTGGTGGGAGGGAGTGTGATGTTCATTCGTTCATGAGCGTGTGTGACTCGGAAAACCTTGGAACATCGCCCAGCCAGCGGAACACACATACACACACCAGACGAGGCAGCCAGGACCGCACAGCAGCCCAATCTCCCCCAATAATTGTCAGAGCACATCGTCACATTCCCGCCAACCCCATCCACCCCCACACAGACACAGGACACGCACAGGCTTACTGCCAGAGTGGCACACCCAACCAGGTCACACCAACCCAAACGCAAGCCTTCTCGACAGTTGGCCGCCTGCCAAGTCAAGGGTGCCTCTTGGCTGATTTGTTGGGCACTTACGATGGCGGAGGCGTGGGAGGCGAGGGCAGCAAGCAGCACCACTCCAAGGATGCCAGAGAACACAAGGCCACGCATGGTGAAAGCGGGTGGGAAGGAAGGAAGGAAGGAAGGTGGAAGGTGGGTGCGTCGGTGACACAACAAGGAACAAGGCACGCAGGCGGGTAAAATGAGTGGTTGTCGCAGCCCTTGGCGTCAAGCCAAAGCCACAAGGCCACAGCTTTCATCAAAGGTTTTATTCGCACGCTGCTTCCTCGTTGCTTCCTTGTTGCTTGAGCCTCAAGGCGCAGTGCGTGGTTGCTTGGCACGCGACCCTCCTTCAGCCTTGCGAGCCCGGTGGTTGCCTGGAAATACCAACACGCAGTTTGGGGGGGTCACGGAGGCGACTCAAGCACGGGTGGCGACTGCAGGTGTGGGGAAGACGGGGAAAATTAATGCATGCATGCAAGTGCCTGAAGCCTCCGAAGCACCGAAGACGACCAAGTGTCCTGGGGCATGGGGAAAGATTGGATGTTATCTGCGAATAGTCGCCGAGGCTGGCATGCACGGCAGTTTGCATGCGTGCGCAACGCCACCACACGCCACCAACCTACGAACTGCCGCTGTCCGCGGGAATTTTGAACGACTTGCAGGGTTCGCTGTCCAGAAGACAGCAGCAGCAGCGGCATCATCATTCTTGGAGATGGATTGGCTAAAGGGAACGCATGAGTTGTTGGAGAGGCTAGGAGAGTTGTTGGACCTGTTGATGGTCTGTCAGGTCTGTCTGTGGTTCATTCTCCTCGGTGCCTTGGTACCTTGAGTGCGCCACACCACCACAAGAGTGCAGTCATGTCCCCAACGCATGCCATGGTTTGGAGCAGGACCCACTCCATGAGTGTATGTGCGCGCGCGCGTGTGTGCTGGATGACGAAAGAACAATAAACACATCGCAAGCACCGCGAGCAAGCAAGCAGGCAAGCATAATACCGTCATCAGCAAGCACAAAACCCCTTGCTTTAAATCAACAATTTTTCGCTTGTACGAGTGTGTGTATTGGAAGCTTGCGCGTCATGTTGTATGAGATCGTTCTGAATTCGACATGTAGGGCGCAGGTTAAATGCCTGTTCACTACTTGCTTATCTCAGGATGCTTCGTGCAACGCTCCTTGTTACTTCCTGGCTTATCGGTTACTGACATGAAAGTGGATCATGCACGCTTTTTTTTTTTTTCTGCACGCTCAGTGTGTGTGTGTGTGCATGTGTGTGTGTGCATGAGAGAGAGAGAGAGAGTGTGTGTGTGTGTGTGTGTGTGTGTGTGTGTGTGTGTGCATGTGTGTGTGTGTGCCTGCCTGACTATGTCTCTCACCCCTCGCACATGCGAAGCACGCTGACCACAGCGTGTACATACACAGCACAGCGTCTGCACCAACGAGCAGTGGTTGCCAGCGCGCGGGCGCCAATCCACAAGCATGGGTGCAGGTGTGTGCGCAGGATGGTGACCGCAAGCAAGCACCTCTCTCGCTCGCTCTCTTGCTGGCATAGCTGCGGGACTTGTACTGGACGTTGGACAGACAAACAATGAGTACAGAGGATATTTGACACGAAACCAAACGAAAAAACAAGCACAATCAAGCATGCAAGGAGAACACCGACCACACACAAACATGTGCACGCACGCTGGGCAAGCCAAGCAGTCAACGTGAACTGAAAGCACAGCATGGCCAATGCGCAAAGAAGTAAAGAAATGAACACACACTCACGCACACACACACACACGCACGCGCGCACACAAGAAAGACAGACAACCAAAGGACATGGGCACGGCATCGCAGCACAGTGAAAAGGGTTAATTAAGGCTTGGAATGAGATGAAGGAAGCGGATGGGGTAGAGAGAGGAGGGCGAGGTGGAAGGCAATATGTGTGTGTGTGTGTGTGTGACAGGGAGGGAACAGTGCGGGGGAAGAGGCTGAGGGGGAGAGGGAGAGGAAGGGGCGGGAGAGCAAGACGAATAAAGAAATGGTATTGATCGACACGAGAGGCAGGGAAGGGGAGAGGTACGTGAAGCACGCAAAGTGACATGGGCAACGAGGCCCAGACAGCAAAGACACGGCTCACAAGACGAGGGGGAGGGGTGGTCAGGTCAAGGTCAAATCAAAAGCACATTCAACAATGATAGAACAGCAACATGTCGCATACAGCGATTATGCGATCAGAGGTCGGGCAGCTAGCGCCTGGGCGTGTGCCTGCGCTTCCCCAGCAACTCTGCAACCTCAACCAGCTCCTCTTCACTGAGTCGGCGCTCGTCAAGTGTGATCCTGTCACGCACAGCTTGCGCGATTTTGGCCTGTGACGTGCTCTTGGCAAGACCAAGAACTTCGGCCAGCTTCTCGAGCACGGAGCTTTCAAAACGCCGCAGGGGACAGTCCTTCCCCTGACCCACAGCAGGTTTGTTGGATTCCTGCTCAGCGCCACCGGTTCCAGCTGGCTGTGCAGACTCGTTGCTGCTGCTGCTGCTGCCACTGCTGCTGCTGTTGTTGCTGCTGCTGCCACTGCTGCTGCTGCTGCTGCTGCTGCCACTGCTGCTGCTGTTGCTGCTGCTGCCACTGCTGCTGCTGTTGCTGCTGCTGCTGTGCTTGCGCTCGCGGCGGAGCTTGTCCTCATTTATACGCTGGTGGTGATCGAAGACGGCTTCCAGAAACACGGTATGGCCGTGAGTAGTGAGGGCACGCAGGGCGCAGATCAGGATGACCCAGTTGAAGGTATGGCCAATAATGGCTTCTGGGTGCTCGGGAAACACGGCCTCTTGGAGACCGCTGATTGCTCTGTCCATGGCGTCACGGCGCTTTTGTTGCGCTCTTGCGTGCTTAGCCTTCTGCTCAGGGGTAAGCTTCTTCCTCTTCCTCCGCGTCTTCTTCTTCTTCTTCTCCTGCTGCTGCCGCTGTGCAACGGGGCGACTGCGGTGTGCGCGCTTGGGAGCTGGGCGTCCGTCATCAGGAAGGGCACGCTCTTGGTCGTGCTGGAAGCCAAGCTGATGGTGGAGGAATGACTGCTGGTTGTCCTGGCCGTGCTGCTGGTGCTGGACAAGTGGCGCTGCGCGGTGCTGGGTGCCGTCACCATCATCGCCACCATCATCGTCATCGATGCCGTTGATCGGTGGAAGGTCGACAAACAGCTCGTTGTTCGTGTGGAAGCGGTCGTCCAGGGATGCATCAAGCGGAGGTCCCTGGAGCGCAAAAGGACTGTGTGGAGACCACAGAGGCAGGGGCAGGTCAAGGAAGTTTGGGGGAGTTGGCACTCCGCTCGGGCTGAGAGGTGACGGAGGTGGGAATGACGGCAGTGACAGCGGCGGGGAAGCACCGTCGTCACCCATGGCAGGCGGTGGACGGGTGGGCGTTGTTGCAACGACGCTGGCCTGCACGGCGGGGTCCATCAGGGCCCTCAACGGAGAGTTGATGGTGCTGGCGGAGCCGTCGCCAAACAGATTCAGTTAGAGGATGCTGCTGCTGCGTGTGGCCTGGCTTGCCGCGTGACTTGCTTGGCGTGCTGGCGTGGTGGCAACATTGGCTTGACCGGCAGCACTGGAAATGCTGTCAGGATGCATCGCCGAGTGGTGGAGGAAATCATGCTCTTGTCCATTGAGACAGGGAACCACGCTGGCGCGGGGTCTAAAGTCACGAACAACGAGCACAAGCAGAGGAGACACGTGAGAATCAGCCGTATGTGCGTGCGTGTGTTTGTGCGTGCGTGTGTTTGTGTGTGCGTGTGTATGTGTGTGTGTGTGTGTGTGTGATGTGTGTGTGTGTGTTCGTGTGTGTGTGTGTGTGTGTGTGTGTGTGTGTG